CTAAAGAAATAAATCAATTAAAAACTAACAAATTTAAAATAATAGCACCCAATTAGTAGTATTTATAGATAAATCAATTTTATAATATGTTTATGTAAAAAAATTTGTAAAATATCAGTATCATAGGCTTCTATTTCGTTCACCTTTTCCTACGGTAACACCCTATTTCTTTCCAGACGGTAAAAAAAATCACCTAGTATATATGCGAGTTATATAGTCTATCTTACTGTTCTTAGTGTTCAAATCTGGTGAATTTATTGAGATTATTGGGATGAATGGTAAACACAATGTATTATAGTATTCTATGGATGTAGCTATGGTAATTCCTTTAGTCGTATACGACAGATTCAATTGTGAATTGGTTGGTCACAGATCGGTAATGTTATATCATGAAGCTTCAATGAATAATTTATTTAACTTTAGGACACGATCGCATCAGTCTTAGTGTGAGTGTTGATGTTTGTGACGATCCGAACCACTAAAAAGTATGTTTACGGATATGCTATATCAGTGTCTCAATTAATAAAGATGGAAAAAAAGGCCAAAGAAATTTATGACCGCGCTAATATCGCTGTATGAAGGAGATTCGAGTTTGTGGTCAGCGCAAGGTGCGGCTTATAGTAATCCTCAGCCTAAAACATCTGCCTATGAAAAACTATTCACAAAAATTGAATCGCAGATTGAAGATCTGCATTTAGGAGGAAGACGAAGAAGAAAAGAAAAAAATAATTTTTTCTTTCAGCCACACATTCCAATATTTGGATTGATAATTAAGCATGTCTTTTCTTATTCATAGTGTATTGGTAGAGGATACCACAAGATATTAACAACGACTGGTAAAGTAAAGGAAAGTTACAGCCTATATACGTCCCACTGCTGGGCACAGGCCATCCCTCATTTCTGAGAGGGTTTCAGGACAAGAAAGTGTCAGCCGCGCTGCCCCAATGCGTGTTGGCGAACTTCACATGTCTTCGAAATATTTTTTTTCTTATTCCTCAGACATGCATGTTTCCTCACGATGTTTTCCTTCACCGTCGAGAACGTGGTAAATCAGCACTTAAAATTGCAATTAACTATTTTATTGGTGCCGGCGGGGATCGAACCAGGGTTACTCGCGTTCTGTTATATTTACAGCGAGCGTTTACCATCTGAACTACCACGGCTCTTAAACAACGACTGTCATCTCTAAATATAAAAATCAAATACTGTCCGTTAGTCTCGCTAAAATTCAAAAACGCATGAGCCGGTAGATGGCGCTACTGTAGCGGCTGGCCTCCAATAGTTCTCGAAGTACATACCTTCATACATAGCCGCCATAGCATTATTCTCTCGCTTTTATAGAAATCTTGAAGTCATTTTTATTTTAATTCGTAAGTCTTCAAGTTTGGTGAGTATATACTTACAAAATATGATTGAAGTAAAATAGGATTAGTAGTAGGTAGTTAGTATGGTCAATTTGGTTGCCTTTATTGTTTTTTAGGATAGGGTGACAAGCTAGCACTCAGTCCACCTGACGGTAACTGGTTTCTGCGGCCCATAGACATCTACATATATCCTCGATTACAAATCAAAATGCAGATGCGTTGTCACCCGTGAGGACTAAGATGGAATGTCACGTTTCCATTAAAAAGGGTCTCCGGTTCTCTACACTAGAAATACAGCAGCATTAAGCTACTATTTCACGCTGGTATTCTGTGAGAGCGTGGTCCTTCCCCGGTCGAGCCGACCTATTCGTGCTACAACTATACTACTATTTAACTGCAGCATGGCTTTACCACGTATAAAATGTTATTTCATTTATAGGTTTATATTATATATTTATTTGTATTTATGTTATATATAATATTAGTCTATTTTTAAGTTTATTAGTAGTAGTTTTTAATTTACTATACTATTATTCATTTTATCACTAACCTCAATACCTCAGTACTCAATAACCGCAATGACGTAACATAGGTACTGCTGTATGTTTTCACCTTCCTCTTGATCGAGTAAAAAATTTGTATCTAAGCAATGTTATTAATTTTAGTACCAAAATATTCATTAAATTTACTCAATATTATTTGCACATCATCACAATCCTCTTCTTTAGTGAACGTAAAAGTTTGATAAATGTCGAATCCTTCTGAACCAATTAAATTGAGAAGTAAACTTGCTTTTACTGCCGATGTCTCCGAGTGCACACCCGAAGCTTTCACAAATAATATGAATTGTTGTCTCCACTTCTTTCAAGCATCAGCCCTGCTGACGGGTCCGCCTTCTAACTGTAATTTGTTAGGTGGACGCGCGCGCTCCATTGTTAATTGCAAGACACACGTTATAGAATTATTTCACAGTTTACTACTATTCATAACTATTATGCTATGTATATATGTTGCAATTATTCTATTGAAGTCCTCGATTTTAAGCGTTTACTATGCTTATGATCCCACTTCTGACACCATGTTGTGTTTGCGATAATACACGTTCGTTAGCGAGACAACTGATTTATTCCTCTCATAACTACCTACGTATACAATAATACAAATACCCACAACAGTCACGCGCTTTTACGACTTCTATTGCCTTATTATTTAGATTTCTGTGGCATGGACCAATCATGGACTGTCTTGAGATTGGAATTCAATTTGTAAATTGCATTATGGATGTCACAAATCTCAGACTGTGCACAAATTTTGTAGTTCATCAGCATACAAATGGTACCCACGTAGGTTACTCGGCGGTAAAGAAAACATTTTAAGCAAACCTACTTATTCAAAATTTTATGAATAACTGAGTCTGTCAACACACAGTAGGGCAGCGAGTAATATAAAAATGAGCAGCAAATATCAAGAAACATCTACAGGAAAGAAAAACACAACCTGCCTAAATGCAATTATATTTGCACAACACAACCATCTATCGACGACATTGGTTAACTATTGTACTTTAGATAGTGAGACTAATTATATTTTAATTTATATTTATTACGTTACTCTTTTTTATATATATTTATATAGATATTAGATTAAAATGCACTTGATGACCCATTGAACAAATTCGTACTTATACTTCGTACCCATACTTCAGAATAATAATCATAACTATTGATAGAATGAACCGATTAAAAAAAAATTAAGACTAGGCACGAAGATACGCTTTATAATTTCCTTACCGATTAAGTTGATATAAATTAGTACTTTATACGTGATACGTTAACAAACAAACAGACAGACAGACAATTCTAAAAATGATAGAAATGTATTTATTTAATTATTACTTATAAGTACTTTAATAAATAATTTTCTACTTATACTTTATTTACAAAGATATAAAATGAACAGATATCCGCAATTCACATTTTCATTATATGTATATATTCATTCAATTTAACGTTAAAATGGAATACGATTATCTCAAGAGTTTCCCAACACAACCGTAATACCGGAACAATTATTTGTAAGAAAGTGTGAATCGATGCAAGCCGCGGCTCAAATCACTACAGCCTAGGCATCTTTTTTATAGAATAAAAGTGGCAAACGAGCACAATCTCCACCTGATGGTAAGCTGATGTCGTGGCCCGTACACCTACACATCCATCTTCATTTAAAAATTAAAATGCAGATGTATTGTCATCGTGAGGACTAAGATGGAATGTCTTATTGCCAGTAATAAGAGTCTTCAATGCTCTACACTTACAATACGAAATACAGCAATATTAATCTGCTATTTTACGCTGGAATTCTGTGTAAGCGTGGTCCTCCTCCAGTCGAGCCGATGCATTCGTGCTAAAACCATAAACTAGCTGCAGTGTGACTCTAAGTACGTACATAAGAGCCCTTGTGTTACCGAACGGTCATATTAAATGGCTCTGATTCTTATAACAACAAAAGGCTCAGACTGTGAGCCATTTATGTGTGTCAGTGCCACTTTATATTACAATTCTCGAATACAAAAGTTTCAAGATGATTTTAATACGTGGTAGAGCCATGCTGCAGTTATATTAGTAGTATAGTTGTAGCACGAATGGGTCGGCTCGACCGGGGAGGGACCACGCTCTCACAGAATATCAGCGTGAAATAGTAGCTTAATTCTGCTGTATTTCGTATGGTGAGTGTAGAGAACCGGAGACCCTTTTTACTGGAAACGAGGCATTCCATCTTAGTCCTCACGGGTGACAGCGCATCTGCATTTTGATTCGTAATCGAGGATAGATGTAGATGTCTATGGGCCACAGCAACCACTTACCATCAGGTGGACTGTGTGCTCGTTTGTCACCCTATCCTATAAAAAAAAACACAATTAATTATTATAATTTAGCAGCTTACTAAAACTAACTATCCTAACTAAAATATACTATACAAAAACTGTCATCTAATTTGTTTTGAAACGACATCAAGGGAATCGACTAACATATTATGCAGTTATTTATCAAATATAGTATTCAGTAATATAATATCTGGTCAGTAGAAGATTTGTTTGCAGGGAAAATGATTGCCTTTAAAATAATTTATGTTTCGTCAAAATTATCACTGCAATTGTGTAACTTTAGTGAGAAATGTGGTTGGTTTCATTGTGACGTTTGATGTTTAGTTTTGTTATACCGTGTGATTGTATCAAAATGGATAATAAGCTGATGCATTTTTATTTTTATATCTTATTCCTGGTTATAAAATATTATAAAATTAAAGTACGCCTTTGCGCAGTGATTCCCATCGGCAAACGATTACCATTGCCGATTAACTCTATTGTATTGTTGAAACGACATATTTATCGTCAATACCATAGCTGTGTAATGAAGAGTCATAAAACCTTGAAGTTATTCATTTTAAAATATAACGTAGTTTTAAAATAGTGAAAGTTTTCTCAAATAAGAAATTATACCATGTAAAACGCTAACCACATTAACTATAAGGAGTAACTTTTAATAAAACTGTTTTATTTATTTCACACACATAACATTTATTTGACAACAGTTTCATTCATTGATATTAAACAATAATTCAGCAAACAAAAAAAAATTAATATTTTGGACGCTCTTCACAAGGCGTGGAACTTCTTACGAGATCGGAGTTAACACAACGGTTGACAGTTTCGTCAAATTTGAAGCCAAGGTCGCAGGTAAGCAAGCGAGCACCACCTCTGTGACATGAAATGAACGTGTAGCATTTTCCGGGAATTCTGTAAATAAAAATGTTTTTGTCAGAAAAAAATATAGGAAATAATTTTAATATTCAAAATAATTTACTGTGCCACTCTACACCGTCCACTGTTAATAAGCTAATTTTAACTAAAGTAACTTAAATTAACACTATACAATAGTGTATGCGCAGACGTGGGCGTTATACGAATATCCACTACCCCATATCATCCCAGTATTGTAAGAAGCGACAGAGGTAAACATACTCGGTGATAAAAGAAACAAAAAAAAAACGCAGCAGAGTTTCTCTAAAAACAACTAAAAAATAAAAAACTGCGTTTGCCAACCTCACTGCCAAGCGTGGCGAAATTGACAAATCTCTGTCTGTCAAAAATCCGCCTCCTTACGAGGCAATCTATAGGGAAGTCTATGTTGAGCAGTGGACATTGATAGGCGGTTATAATAAACAATAATGACGATGAATAAACATTTGCGTAATGATTTAGTGAACTACAGTTTCCTTTTTATAAAACTGAAGTGGCAAAGAAACTTACAGTCCACCTGATGGTAAGTGGCTACCGCAAGCCATGGACACGTGCAGCCAACTTCTAACAAGGAAGGACACATATGCGTTGTCACCTCTAAGGACTAAATGGAATTCCTTACAGCCTGTTACCATCCTGGTCCTCTATAATTCTCAGAGCAGAACACATCAGTGAAACCAGTTGTTTATCGGCACAAATGGGTATGTGTCGAACCTATCCAGACGGCCTCCTGACCAGAAAAGAAACCTGAACACCTTGTAATAAGAACTGGACACTTTATAATACTTGTTAATAATTCTTATAGTATAAACTAGTTACATAACATTTACACTAAGGTTAGAGTACACCTAATGCGTTAGCAGCACTTCTGCAAGAGGTACGCCTGAAGACAACGGTGTAATGTATGAAAGACGTTTCTTTGCTCGTGTTTCATATTATGCAGTGCGAGTATACGCAGGTGAAGTCATACATAATGTACGAATAAACTTTTTAAATTTAATAACCCTTTTTAAATGCAGAATGTTCAGAAATTGCATATTAATGTTAAGGTCGATATGATGAATAAATAAATTAAAATATTACCCAAAGTTTTCAGTAATATCATATCCATATTCGTCGACGGATCCCGGCGGGCAGGAATAGCCAAGGAATGCTGTAATATGTAAACATTTTTATTAAGATCCATCTGAGAGCAAAAATTTTTTTACGGATTTTGTTAGAATTTTTTACACATGTTCTGATTTTTTTAAATTCAATAGCGACAATAGCGTAGAGTCCAAATCTATCTATCATTTGATGAACTTCTCCCATCATCCAAGTATTGAATTGGAGTGGTCAACAATATTATCGAAAGTGTTATTGTTAATAGAATTACTAACATTTCTTTAACAACAAACAATAGTTATAAATTACCTTCAGCGTCACAAGAAGGTACCAAAGCGGGCCAGTCACAACGACCTATTTCGGGATTGAAAGCAAGACCCCATGGGCATAGCATTTCTATAGGAACACCATCCACGCACTGCCTATAATGTCCACAGTCAACGCGAGTCGCTAAAGGCGATTCAAAGAATCCATACTCATGAGGGCAGTCTCGCGTTGATCTAGCTGTCTCTGTAAAAAAATTTAAAACGTTAAAACAAAAACAGTTCCTTGACAGTACGGGAAGCGCGGTCCAATATATGCATCTAAATATTACGATGTATGACTTAAATAATTAGATTTTTTTTATAGGAGAGGGGCATAGCATACGAGCATACGGCTCACCTGATGAAACAATTATTATGATTATGTATATCTATTGATGGCATCGATTTACGGTATAGCTTATGTTTATTTCGAAAATATCAGTTTTAATATCGTAAGATTATTATCAAATAAATTAAAAAAAATGTTTTAAAGTTAATAAATATATGAAGAAAATATGAAATATACGTTGAACATCCTTCGGGCCACATGGGACGTCCATCGGGTATCCACAAGGATACTGCGGCCATGGCGCTTCCGGATTGAAGTGTAAGCCATCTGGACATGATCTTCTAAATTCTTGACGTTCCTAAAATTAACAAAGTATGTAGGTTACACTGCTAAAATAACAGCCAGAACTGTATTATTATACCTAAGGCAAGACTTACAACACATTCGATGAAGATATCACAGTAACCCTCAAGCTTATAGTACGCGTTAGTGTCGCCACAGTAGCCCGTATCGCCTGTTTATAAAATTAAATGGTTGTAAATAATAATATTTTTAAAACTTTATTAAAAACAAATGTTTGGAAAACAGAGAAATAAGTTTGTAAAATAGAGAAATCAAAAAACTGAATAACATTACAAAATTCATGTGAAGGGTCCCTAATACGGTCAATTGTGAGAGCCAGTATGTAAAGTGTACGTGTATGAAACTTATTGACGCGAACAGTGACAGCTTATGAAATGGAATGAATTGTCAAATGACAATTGGCATTGACAGCAAATGATAAAAAATGGCATTCAGTGGCGGCAGACGACAACCACCTTTTAGAAAACATAGCAGACGTGTCTGAACACGATCACGACGCCGACCTGACCCTGAACTATGAGGAAACCTAGGGTTAAGGACTGGCTCAAAGAAGTCGCTCTCAGTGCGTTCGACGAGGCCCCTCTGAATGCTTTGGTGGACTCTGATGATGTCCACCCATCATACCCCCGCAGAACAGATAGCAGAAGAGCTATGTTTCCGTGATTCCGGCGGGAGTGCATTGCGTATAACTCTCTATTACCCGTGGCCATAACGTGGTTGGAGGCGGAGCCATATGCCCGATCCGCCGCTGTGGTCAGGACGACTCATGTATCTAGGGCATGTTTTTGTTTTTTGAGATCTGTTCTGTGTAAAATGGCTCGCCTGTGTTTTAGCACGCCTTGCCTGAGAAAGAGAATGGAGGTGAGGGGCGATTGGCACTGTTTGGACTGCTAATATGTACAAAAGTGTTTCTGTTTATGTGTGGCGAAGATGGAACACCATGGCGTATTAGTCGGTGGAAGGGTGACGTAGCTCGTCCTTGCCCTCACTAGGTGGGTATGTGTAGGCATTTCCCCATGAAAATCAAGAAACTCCTTATCGGCGTTTGAAATCATTACAGCTATGAGTGACGCACGCGACTTCTCAACACAGTGCAGCAATCAGCTGAGGCGTGCGCACGTGATACACCGTCAAATGCAGCTTCAATCGCCCATAATTTGAAGCATTCAATTATCTCTACATTGGCTATGGCAATTGACTATTTCGAGGACTCCTAAGAAGTACACTAGCTCTTCTATAGCTTTCGCTGGTTTAGAGGGCTTAGTTTCGTCCAATATACGAGTATGTTCGATTATATTTGTACGGCTCTTATAAGATCAATAAAGCTGAAAAGATACAAATAATACAGCAAAAATATTTAGTTATCACATACATGAAGTACACACACGAAAACACAAAAAATAATAAAAATAAGACACATTACCATTAACAGTGTTAGGTTAGCAAACAGAGTTTTGTGTGTATGTGTAAAATAATATTGAATATCTCAGGACAGTTGCATTGATACCTGTATTATAAACAAAAGACAAAGAAAAAAAAAAGAAAGAAGAAAAAACTCGGTCCTAGTTTACCAATATCATGCTAATACCTAATACGAAATATGTCACGACTCGTGGCTCGGATGAGGCGGCCTGACGAGCCTTTTGTTATATAACCAAATGTGGAAGTTCTTTAAGTGCCCTTTGTCGTATTTTTTTTCTTTATTTAAAAATAGTGACTTTTCCCTTTCCTTTCTTAAGAAAACTCTACTCCATTAAAAAAACTCTTTAACGGAAAGTACAAGTTTAATAGTGACTAAGGATATTGAAGAATATTTAGGAGAGCTGTAAATTTAAAACTTTTTAATGTTTAAATTTAATTTTTGATCAACCGTAACTTGTACTTACATGATACTGCCGCTAATAGAGCGAAGATGCAAAGCAAGAAGAACATTATAGATATTTTGCAGCACGTCCTTGATTGATAATATTGGACCTCAGCTTAGACTTTTTATATAGAAATAAGTCATTAATTTTACATTACTGAGTGAAATCGTACTTAGATAAACACGCTTTTATCTAAAATACTCTTTTCATTTGATTTTGTTCAAAAATTTCCACTATTACTGACTTCAATTAATTTATCTATAACTGAGTTGTAACGATAAGCACACGTCTACTATCTGTTTTATACGTATACAGGCTTATTTTTCAGGGTAGCCAAATTTTTTACTTAATTTCGAATAGATAAATAATGATATACCGTTATTGCAGTTTTTGAAAATACGAGTAAATAAGGCTTGTACTTTTATTCGAAATTATCCCAAATTGAATATGATTTATTGGCAACAACATTTTTGCTTATGCTTCTACACTTCGAATGTGTGCGTGCTGAGTAGAATCAGTCAAAACAATGTATTACCACGCATTTTGAATTTAAAAGATATAAAGGACAGAATCTTAGAAATTTTTATAAATAAATTTTTCTTCAGCATTTTCGTATATTCATGGGGGGATATTTGCCATAGTTGCCACGCTTGGCGAGCGGGTTGGCAACCGCAGTTTTTTATTATATTACAGTTGTTATCGGGAAGATCAGACTCGACGACTTCCAGCCTCCCGAACAAGCCGGTTTCCGAAAAGGCTTCAGTACCATAGACCACATACATATCCTGCGGCAGATTGTACAGAAGACCGAAGGGTACAATCTGCCACTTTGCCTGGCATATGTGGACTATGAGAAAGCCTTTGATTCCGTCGAAATTTGGGCGTTGCTACAGTCTGTTCAGCGGTGCCTAGTTGACTGTCGGTATATCGAAGTGCTAAAGGGTTTGTACAGTAGAGCTACGATGGCTATCCGAGTACAGAACCAGAGTTCGAAACCCATCCAAATGCAGAGAGGTGTACGACAGGGTGATATTATATCCCCGAAACTCTTCACCGCTGCGTTGGAAGACGTTTTCAAGCTACTGGACTGGAAAGGATACGGTACTAGCATCAATGGCGAGTACATCACTCACTTTCGATTTGCCGACGATATAGTCCTTATGGCAGAATCGCTGGAGGACCGTAGCACTATGCTCAATGACCTCAATGGTGTCTCCTAACGGATAGGTCTTAAGATGAACATGGACAAAACAAAGATCATGTTTAATGTCCATGTCACACCTACGCCGGTAGTTGTTGGAAGTACTATGCTCGAAGTTGTTGATGAGTACGTTTACCTGGGACAAATAGTCCGACTAGGTAAGTCCAACTTCGACCGAGAGGTCAATCGACGGGTTCAACTCGGCTGGGCAGCGTTCGGGAAATTACGACATATCTTCTCGTCAGGTATACCTCAATCTCTGAAAACTAAAGTGTATAACCAGTGCGTGTTGCCAGTGATGACTTACGGATCTGAGACGTGGTCCTTCACTGCTGGCCGTATGAGGACGCTCAAGGTCGCTCAGCGAGCTATGGAGAGGGCTATGCTCGGAGTTTCTCTGCGTGATAGACTCAGAAATGAGGAGATCCGTAGTAAAACCAGAGTGACCGACATAGCCCAATGGATTAGTAAGCTGAAGTGGCAATGGGCCGGCCATATACTCGTAGCTCTAAGAACCGATAACCGATGGGGAAGAAAGGTTCTCGAGTGGCAGCCTCGTACCGGTAGGCGTAGTGTAGGGCGACCGCCCACTAGATGGAGTGACGACCTGGTAAGATATGCAGGAAGTCGATGGATGCAGGTGGCTCAGGACCGTGCTTTGTGGCATTACTTGGGGGAGGCCTATGTTCAGCAGTGGACTTGTGAAGGGCTGTAATGATGATGATGATGATTTTCGTATTTTAATTATACTCAATCTTTTCTACGATTATAAAAAAATCCTGTGTATTATTGAAACACGTTTTTTCTACGGCTTTAAACTCGAAAACTTTGCAGTTGTTGCTTAATAAACGTTTTGTTCGTGATATATTGACTTTGCATCCTATAGAAAACCAAAAAGCTGGCTACTTTGCTTTATGTTAAATATAATATGTAATTATAGTGTGCATAGTAAATCTTTACAAAAATAAACAACAGAATGTAACATAACAAATATAGAATGCTACAAAAATACTACAGTACTAGCACGAATGGGACGACTCGGCCGGAGAATGACTACGGTCCCACAGAATTCCAGCGAAAAATAGCATCTTAACGCTGCTGTGTTCCGTACTGTAAGTGAAGTCCTTTCAGGTGCAACGCATCTGCATTTCGAGTTTGAATTGTATGTGTCTTTTTCCTTGATGATTACAGTTCCAGAATAACACACCTCTGACTTATATTCCATCATCATGACCATGATTGTGAACACAATTGGATGGGGCCTGTCTGGCGTAATTCAAAAGGTATATTATACCACTAACTATCGGAAGCATTAAATATTTGCTGTATTTTCCATACCTACCACACGGCTAACCACATTGTAAATCAATTCATTTCCATATAACGAAGACCAATACCAATTTACTGGTGTAATGTAAGTTTTGAAAAATGAAACGTTTCTGCAAAAATTTAGTAATTGAATGTATATATGAAAATAAAAAGAATTGAATGCTTTTAAATTATTTTGTTACTATTTTAGTACCTATACTAGCGATTTATTTTCTTACAATCAACAACAGTGCAACAGAATTAAGCGTTCCTGCGTGGCGTGCAGGATACGTTCAATAAAAAAAATATCTAAAAGCAAATTTTTTTTTAAATATTTTATTCACCTTTTATATATCTAATTAAACACCCTGTTTGAGAAAAAAAATAATAAAATTAGAAAAAAATTATCTGCCAAGTAATGGGTTAAAAATATCAACAGGTTTAGTTTGAACCGATCAGTTGAGTTGACCGTGTGTGACGTCCATTAGTTTCAAATTATTAGTTTCTTATCAAAATCATTCTAAATTGAAAGAACGATCTCATCTCTGGTTTTTTGAACTTGTCAGTCTAACAGTGCCTATAGTAATATACTGTACTATTAAACACCAACAAAATTGTATCTTATATTTGAAACATAAGTGTACTGAGTAATGTATTGTTTTTTATCACTTTATACTTAAGAATCCATCGCAGAAGGGCACTTCGATAGAAATTGATACAGACCCGCGCTTTCTTAATCCGGCATTCGCTAACGACTTATAAAAAGGGTTATGCTTGAATTTATCTTCTTCAGAATCTGTAACGAAGATATCTGGAGATCGATTCTTCGAACTGTACAGGTTGGCTATACAGCTCGAAAATCGATAGCTATTGGGGAAGTAACATTAAGGATCGAGCGGCAGCCTCATATCAAATAATAAGGTCTACGGTCCCTTGGAGATATAGAAAGTTCAAGCAATAATCAAAATTTTTAGTCGTTATTATATCGACGTTGCTGCCCGTCATCTGATTTGTTTCTATCTGTCGCCTCCTATGACACCCCCGAGATGATATGAGGTACGACAGTATAACATAAAACACTCACGCCTGTCACCCAGAGGGGTAGGCAGAGAATACAGACTTCCATTTGGCACGATCCTGACACACCTCTCTCGCCTCCTTCACATCCATACACCTACGCATACATGCTCGTCGGTTAAGGGTACTTCTAATTTGGCCCGTTTTCAATAAATCGCCAATTTGGTCGATAAATTTTCGCCTAGGACGTCCCTTTCCGACTCTACCATTCAGTTCTGCAACATATATTTTCTTTGTCACTCTTTCCTCATTCATTCTTTCTACATGACCAAACCACCGAAGCATTACTTTCTTAATCCTGGTCACAACATCATCTTGCAAACCACACTCTTCTCTTATTACACAATTTCTTACCCTGTCATTCAGATTCAGCCCTAACATACTCCTTAACGACCGCATTTCTACTGCGTTCATTCTACTCTCGAGCTTCTTCTGCCACATTCAACTTTCACTACCATACGTTAAAGTAGGGACCAACACAGCATTGTGAATTGCCATACGTGCCTTTTTTGACACATTTTGACTCTTCACAATAGAGTGTAGGGCCCCATTTATTCTATTTCCTGCATTCACTAGTCGTTCTATATCCTTATCACATCTCCCTTTTGATTTTGATAATTTCAAATTCAGTCATCAAACGCATAGGGTATTTCTCGATGACCTAGAATCATGAAATTTGGCAAAAAGTAAAGTTTCACAGTGCAAGTAAACTCACAAATTCCTTTATTTGTAGTATCAAATAAAAGATATTGTTTTCGGTTATAAACTTACTTGAACTTGAAATAGATCGGTGTAGGCCAGAACGTTATTTTTAACTGCAAATTAAGTTTATACTTCAAACTAACTTACCTTTTCGTTACTAGAACAATATTCGGTGGTCCTTACCTATAATTCCCGGGATTAACAATCTACATACGCCAACAAGCATATTCGGAGCTAAAATACTCTGTGGTAGAACTATTTTTGTCTGGGAGCCTGTCTGAGTACATTTTTACCTTCTTCTGCTGCCAAATGGCAGGGCTTGCACGGCTGTGTTCTGCTTTGAAAGGTATAGAGAGACGGTTTAATAATAGGCTGCGAGACATTCCATCTTAGTGCTGAGAGGTGATAACGAACCTGTAGACTACCTTCTTTGAAGTCAACTGCTATCCATGAACTGCAGTAGCCATTTACCATCAGGTGAACTGTAGGCTCCTTTGTCACCTTAAATTTATAAATAAACAACCCAAAGTTCGGTATTTTTCACCCATTGGTCGAAGAATGCAGGATGTTTTGAGATCTGGGGTAAAGGAACAATTTTAAGTAATTCCTAGATAATTATTAGGTATATGGTGTTTATGTACAAATCTTGCAATTATTTTTATTGCTTTTTTAATTTGAGTCTAAGGTATCAAGTATACACATGTTTTATTAAAGTAAATTTATTTTAACCTTATTTAATCTAACATTGTTTATATTCACTTATATAAATTAAAGCTAATGTGAGTGGTGAATTTGGTGTCTTCTATCTTAAACTTGTAGTAAATGAGTGCCTTGACAAGTGAAGAATCCTGCACCTGCAGATAAAATACCTTAATTTGGTTATTTTATAATACATATAATCAAACAAGAAAAAAAAAAGAAACATTGTAGAAAGAAGAAACAAGCGATGGTTAACTTTGAGATCGGTAATAATTTCAATAAAATTATTGTTATCTCTAATATCAACATTATTGTTCGTACAACTTTATTGTTCACAAAATATATTATATTTAAGCTGAAAATTTTGAAATAATTATATAAAAAAATAACAATAAAATCAGGCTAAGATTATGCATACACTTATTCATTACATCTTACTAAAAGTTTACTAGTCTAAAGGAGATTTTGCCATAGGTAGTAGCCACCCTCAGTAGATAGGTTGCCAACCGCAATTCTTTAATTATTTTGATTTGTCATCAGGAAGATGCAAATCCTGTCTCATTTTATACCGATGCCTCTCACGGAACAATAAGGGGTAATGGATTCTCTAATGTCGAAGAGAAGATAACGCTTGATAACTTGAAGTTAAATAGTGCAAGGAGCCCATTATACATACCTGCAAGTTACTGTCGTCTTGTCATTTACTTTCAATTGGAACTATTCGCCTTGAATTCTGGAAAAATAAAGTCTGTTAGCTTTGTAATTACGCTTAAACTATTATTAATGATAAATTCTCTAGTGATATTATTTACCTGGTGCACCACAAGCTGGCACATTTCCAGACCAGTCGCAGCTCTTCGTTTGGTAGTTGTAGGCCAGACCGACTGGGCAAATCATTAACACAAATATGCCGTTATAGCACATTAGGAATTGGTCACAACTACCCGTGCCTGAGGGATAAATTTCACCATTACGACAGTTGGATGTGATCAACGGCGTTGTAGCAGTCGGTGCCGATGTTGTAACCGGCGCGGGGGTCGTTGTAGTAGTCGTTGTGGTTTTTGGTATCGGCACTGACGTAGCAGTCGGTTGTGGCATTTTGGGTGTTATTTCCGCTGGTGCGGATGTGGCACATGGTTCAGGTACCCTAGGTGCTATCTCAGTAGGCGCGGGTGTAGGACACGGAGATGCGGTGGAAATTTCTTGCTTTGGTGCAGATGTGGCACACGGTACTGGTACTTTAGGTGCTATTTAGTAGGCGCGGGTGTAGGAAGGAGATGCGGTAGTTCTTGTCTTGGTGAGTGACGGACTGGTACTTTAGGTGCTATTTCAGTAGGCGCGGGTGTAGAAGACGGAGATGCGGTGGAAATTTCTTGTCTTGGTGCAGATGTGGCACACGGTTCTGGTACTTTAGGTGCTATTTCAGTAGGCGCGGGTGTAGGACACGGAGATGCGGTGGAAATTTCTTGTTTTGGTGCAGATGAGGCACACGGTTCTGGTACTTTAGGTGCTATTTCAGTGGGCGCGGGTGTAGGACACGGAGGTGCTGTAGAAATTTCTTGTCTTGGTGCAGATGTGGCACACGGTTCTGGTACTTTAGGTGCTATTTCAGTAGGCGCGGGTGTAGGACACGGAGATGCGGTAGAAATTTCTTGTCTTGGTGCAGATGTGGCACATGGTTCTGGTACTTTAGGTGCTATCTCAGTAGGCGCGGGTGTAGGACACGGAGATGCGGTAGAAATTTCTTGCCTTGGTGCAGATGTGGCACACGGTTCTGGTACTTTAGGTGCTATTTCAGTAGGCGCGGGTGTAGGACACGGAGATGCGGTGAAATTTCTTGTTGGTGGGTCGGTTCTGGTATGGGTATTTAGTAGGCGGGTGTAGGACACGGAGATGCGGTCGAAATTTCTTGTTTTGGTGCAGATGAGGCACACGGTTCTGGTACTTTAGGTGCTATTTCAGTGGGCGCGGGTGTAGGACACGGAGGTGCTGTAGAAATTTCCTGTCTTGGTGCAGATGTGGCACACGGTTCTGGTACTTTCGGTACTATTTCGGTAGGCGCGGGTGTAGGACATGGAGGTGCGGTAGAAATTTCTTGTCTTGGTGCAGATGTGGCACATGGTTCTGGTACTTTAGGTGCTATTTCGGTGGGTGTGATTGTAAAACACGGAGACGTGGGCGAAATCTCTGGTTTCGCTGTCGCAGATTGTGATAACACGTAGGATCGCCAGTTCTGAGGCTGTGGTTTTGAGTTCACTAAAATGGAACGAAACGTGATTTAAATAAAATTAGAATTTAAAAATGTAATTATTAAAAGCAAAATAATTACATACCTTGTATAGTCAGCGCCAACAGAAACGCAAAACTGTACATAGTCCGCAACATGATTAATATTTATAGATAAATATATTACAAGTAGAGTGAACTGCTGCCCTTTTGCTTTTTGACTGCCCTTTCTGCCAATTGTGTTGGTCTTATATTGAAGTACTAAATGACGTTTATATTTAAGTTTGCTGATTAATAACTGGTTGATCTTATATATGCTCATTTGCAAATCATCTAGCAATTTAGCAAATTATAATGCTTACCGTTACGAAGAAAAATGCAGTAACTTATTAATTGGAAGCGACATTAGCCTAATAGTCCGAATGGGAATTAGAAATGTAGTTTGCAATTTTGAAAAGTCGTGGGATCACATTCGTATTCGCAAACACAAGTATTTTAATATATATATATATATATATATATTTTTTTTTTTTTATAAAATATGTGTTTGTGTGTGTGTGTGTGTGTGTGTGTGCATGCTTTGATGTTAGACCGACGGACGTACTAATGCCTCGCAATCTGTTCTTTTAATGATTCTCTTACACCGCAACACAGCAGTGGCTGTATAACTCACAAAAATAAGAAAGGAGAGGGCATTTACTAAGATGAATTACTGAACACTAAAGGCGACCTTCAAGCTGGAATCCTTCTCTACGATATCCAAAATTTTATAATGTCAAGATTAAGTTAGGAATTGTTTTTAGTTTTTTTTTTTAATTTTTCAAAAAATTTAAAGACTACCGCATAAGTTTGACTGTTTTTTATAGGATAAATGTGACAAACGAGATTGAAACGAGCACACATAAATGTTTAGTTTTTTTTAACACTGTCATTACACAAGCAATTTATTATTCTTGATTATATGGTAATGAATTGATTTACAGTGTGGTGACGACGTAGCGAATCTATGGACTCAATCGCGACCCAGTGACTATGGAAAATGCAACAAAAATCTTAATGCTTCAAATAGATAGTAGTCCATAATCGTGATCATGATGATGGAACATAAGTCAGAGCTACGTTAAGTCTGGAACTCTAATCATCTAGGAAAAAGACTGTTGTCTAACGGTGGAATTTTCTTATGAAGTAAAGGTACACGAACACAGTCTACTTGATGTTAAATGGTTGAATCATCACTTACCATCCGGTGGGATAATAGTCATGCACAGATTTCGAATCGTTAAAAAACGACTTCTACTTTTTAACTTTTTTTGTAAGGTACTTAAGGGGATATATGGTTACCTTAGGCTTTGCCACCCTATAAAACTAAAACTAAGAGAAGGACGGAGACAAAAAAAACAAAGTCATATACTACAATTAATTTTTTTAAGAAAACAATAGCAAATAAGCTTTGACAATGATTAGTAACACTTCGAAAAACCATCTTTAAAAAAATTGGTTGACCCTGCAAGCCATCCCTGGAATTTCCCGCTAATTTCAAATGCAAAGCGTCCCAAATTTCACCAAATTATGTTGCGAAATCTCGAAGTTATGTTATAAAAACGTTTTTTTTTCGACGTCATTTTTTAAGGATAAGAGCTCATTAAATTTTGAAATCGATCAGTAAAGCCATTTAAAAGTTATTCCAAAAAAACAGTTTTTCAAAATTTTTATTTTTGAGATTTCTCAATACGTACTCGTCTAAATCAGTTCATATTATCACCAAATAAAACCATCTTGAGATCTTTAGAACGCTGCAACCCGCATCTCAATCGATCAAGACGTTTAAAAGTTATGAAAGATTTACATACTTACACACACACATACATACATACATATATCCGTACGGACGTCCACGTGAAATTAGTATCTCAAAGTCGAATCTGATGAAAATTCGAATTTCGAAAATCGGGGTGAAACCAATATCATTTCTATTTTTGAAAATTTTCGATTTTCTTAGAAGTAAATTAAAAACTAAGTACACTACACAATACTAAAATTGACTAAAATATTTACTATAACTTCAACTGTCAAAATGGCGTCATTAAAGCAGCGCACTTTTGAGCTTTTATTATTTGATTGACTGATGAAGAGCTATATAGTATGACAGAGCCATCTAAGTGACCATATTAACCGAATGACCATATTATCCTCACATACTATAATATAACCTTTTACACTAAATCATTGATTCAGTGTTCCCTGAGCTATTAATACATTTATATAACATATAACATGTGTATAATTAAACAAAAATCAAACTAAAAACTTAGAATATCATACTGTCATACTTCCCGCAGTATCTGGTCAAGAACACCAGATGCGTTTTTTTTTTATAGAACAAGGGTGACAAACGAACACACAGTCCACCTGATGGTATTAAGTGGATGATATGAGCCATAAACATCTACATCTATCCTCGATTAAGATAATGAAAGTATTGCGTTGTTATCCCTGAGGACTAAGATTGAATGCCTCGTTTACAGTAAAATGGGTCTCTGATCCTCTACAGTCTACACTCACCATACGAAACGCAGCAGCATGAAGTTATTATTATGCGCTGGTATTCTGTAAGACTCTCTCACTGATTGGCTATCTCTTATCACCAGCAGCGATGACCGGTTGCTGATACAGATACTTCAGGAACCTCACCGCAAGTAGATCTCACAGACCGAGAGCCTCTACAGCATGCAGCATAAATATGTAGTCATATCTCAGACTCTAGATATTTAGACTACAGATACCTAATATAACATAAATAGTACCCACTATGCAAAATTTTGTAAAATGAAACCACTAAGGGGGTAAAATAGGGTAACTTTATTTTACGAGACGATTGACTGGTAGCTTACTTAAGGTACTTTGTAAATAAAATAAAATAAATTCAGATTAAGCGATTTTTAAAACAACCCTTTACGCCTGCCTGGGGGTGTTTAAATTTGTATAGAGTAAAATAAATTCATGGTTCTTTTAAAAATTAAAATTGGTACATAATCTGAAATTAAAAATAATAAAATTCAAATATTTAGCTTCTTCGTAAATCTATCCTTAGGTCTTAAAACGAGGAATAAAGTATGTATAAAAATATTGCGCATAACCAAAAGTGCTAGATGTAGAAATCTGATATTTGGACAGTAGGTATCCTTTTATGACGTAGGTAGGCATACAATAAGCAAACATTTTGAAAATTCAACCCACGGGGAAAGGCATGTTATAGTTTTTATGAAACTTTTTATTTACAGATTTTTCAGGATAGCTTCTTACGAGGTGGAGGCAGATGTTGTTCGTATGAAGACAATTTTTCAAGTATTATGATAATTGTTGATTTAAAAAATGAAGGACTTTTCCTTTGATTAGCTTTCGATTACAAGGATTGAGTGTTCAAGGATTTTTGGATACTCCACTTTGAAGAACATAATAGGGATTTAAAACTATTATAAAATTGTAATGCAGCTTTTTAACAATCAATCAATGTATTTTTATTGTTAGCCAATACAAATTAAAACAAGACAAAATAATAATAAACAAAAAAAAACAAAAAAAACTTAAGAAGTTACAATAAGCGATCTTAACGATCTGGAAGCGATTTCTTCCAGACAACGTTTGTACGTAAATAATTGTTTATAACGTATGGCTATGAGGTAGATGTACAGAGATTATAGAATATGTAGGATTGATACAAGAAAGTACGTGAAGTATGATGGGGAAATAATCCAAATAGTACCTCATCCACCCCACAACCACAGATTTGATTCCAAGTAGTATTAAAAAGGGATTTTCAAGTAATATAAGCATGGGTATATAAAAAACAGGATTGAGCACGACGGCACGGCGAAGAAGGAGGATGAAAGTTGTGGAGTATAAAGAGAAACAATGTAAAAGCGTTTTCACTACTTGAAAGTTATAACTTAAAACCTGCGACCATTATCTTAATTATCATTCCGAAATATCAAAGAGTTTCCATGTGATAACTTGAACTCTCTGTTTTATGCCATCTCATAATAACCATGAGTCATGACTGTCTGCATATTATCACTATGACGCAGGTAACACCGCGGGGTGAAAAGCTAGTTAAAAATATCTACTATAACAGAATGTCATTTGCTAATATATAACATTAGAATTTCTCAGAAAATTTCAAGCTTTTGTGGTTTTGAATCCAGTTAGTCCCCATCATGTATTATCACTGTTTTAAAAGCGTAATTATAATTTAAAGTTTATGGCAATATATTTGTCTATTAATAATGCAAAAGTAATTGAGTCTACATATTTCAAATATGTTAACGAGAGCCTATTTATAAACAGGTTACAACGTACGTCTATAGTTAAACAGGCGCCGCTGTTGTGACTTCCTTGAAAATAGCAACAAAATTAATAATTATTAAACGGAAATTTAGTGTAATGACGTCATAGCTTTTAGCCGACTTCAAAATTGGTTGAAAGTAACAAATCGATTGTATTTTTTTTTGTATTATGTTACGCAAATTTTTCGTCAATGTATACTAACTTAGGGACCTTCAAGTAAAGAGCCTACTCTACTACTACACTTGCAATTTCCCTGGTGTTGCAGTCGTTCATGGGCGACGGTAATCACTTACCATCAGGTAAGCCGCGTGCTCCTTTGTCCCATTTTCTAAGTATATTGATAACTTTTTATTCAAATAAACTTCAGGGATGATATTACATGAATTTGAAGAAAAATCCCAACCCTTATAGTAGAAAAATAGGGGATGTAATTTTGTTGAATTGCTATATCTTATACAATAATACTAAAATTAGCTAATTAAAATATGTATATGGGAATAATTTATTGATGTTGTTTGAAACCAATTACAATGAACAAGGTCATTGGTGTCAGTAGAGATCGAATTTAGTTTGCTCATGTGCTATAAAATTCAACGTGGGCGTTTGTTTATCCACTGAGTTTTCACTGTTTTCCTATGACCTACGGTCTACGGTCTAACATCGTAATAGGGCCGCTCTATATTTATTTTATCTACATGATGTGATTAATAATAGAGCAAAGAAAAGAATAACAATAATTACTTTATTTTCAAAGAAACATTTCTAAAACACTACCTACGAGTATGAGTTCGAATACTCACTGTAGGTACTTTAAACAATTTTTGCATGAGATAAATTACGTTTAGAATTAAAACCGCGATAAGCATGTTGAGATAACCAGCTCTAACTGTTATTGGTATGATATTTTTTATACAGTATGGGTGACAAACGAGCACACAGTCCACAGGATCGTAAGTGGATGCTGGGGCCCATAGACAGCTACATTAATCTTCGATGAATAATCAAAATGCAAATGCGTTGTCACCCCCGAAGACCAAGGTGGAATACCTCGTATATTGTAAAAAGGGTCTCCGCTTCTCTACACTCATCACACCAAATACAACAAACAGCATTAGGCTGTAATTTTACGCTGGTCGTCTGAGAGTGTGTGGTCCCTCCCAGGTCGAGCCGACCTATTCATAGTACAGCCATAATATAGCTGCAGAAAAACCATTTATAAAACATTTTAATTTTGTTTTGTTTTATTTTTAAATAATTACGGATATACTCGTATGTACTGATTCTTATTTGTTAATACGTAAGCAGTCTAAGACTGATGCGTGCATGTTTTTGCCTTTTATTTTTTTTTTGAGTGTGTAAAAAATACCTATTTTTTTTTCTCTTTTCTTCCTAAATGTAAAACATTTTACTTGTCCAATACGCAATAGCTAAAATAATAATTGATGACGTAATAAGATGCTTATATGCTTTCCTGGCGATAACATAACTTAGGGTTCAAAATACTTGACTGCACAGTCGAGGGTTATTGTGTCGTATTCCATTAAAGAAGCCACAGCTTGACTTGAACTTCTCTCATTAACGGAATAATTTAATTGGCACCATTTTCAGGCGTATTTTACATTATTGACGCAGAGTCACACTATGAAGAACATATCTGATTATTACATAGTAACATACTAATATGTTACACTACTTACTTACTACGGCTGTCAATCCCTTATTTACAATCTTATTCAATTCAAACCTTTAAACTTATTTCCATGACTTAAGATTTTTTTTGTAGGATAGTGTGAGAAACGAGCACACAACCCAACTGATGGTAAGTGGTTGCTGTGGTCCATAGACATCTACATCCATCCCAGATTACGAATCAAAATGCAGATGCGCTGTCACCCGTGAGGACTAAGATGGAATGCCACGTTTCCAGTAAAAAGAGCCTCCGATTCTCTACACTCACCATACGAAACACAGCAGCATTAAGCTACTATTTTACGCTGATATTCTGTGAAAGCTTGGTCCTCTCCTCCTCTCCTAACCCAGATCGGATCGACCCATTCATGCTACAACTATACTACTAATATAACTGCGGCATGGCTCTACCACCTAAAAATAAAATATTGCTGAACTTATGTTGATAGATGATATTATTTTAATTTCTGGAAGATGTCATCGTAGTTGAAATTAAAATTACATTCAAATATAACTTTCGAAAGTTTTCCTAATATAAGTTTTGATCAAGGAAAACTGCGTGATTGTTTTAATATTATTTTTATTAGGAAATTATTGAATAAATAAGCACTATTAAAATAATTATTTTAGAATCAACGTCCTTCATGGCACTCGACACGAGTGGCGTCCACGCAGCGGTTAACGGTAGAGTCGAACACAAAACCGGAGTCACATAGCAACAGTCGCGCTACATTCTCCATACAAGAGAAAAAGTAGTGGCAGCTACCAGCGATGCTGCAAAATAAATATAATAGTATAAGTATTATATATTGCCATTATTTATTAACATCTATAAGAATTCCTCTTACTCTTATATACAGTGATAAATAAACTCAACTTAATAAATGCAATTTTTTAGTAAAATCTTTCTTGCAGTTTTAAAATACATGCAGTTAAAAATCAAAATTAACATTTACCTGAAATTAACCACGTAAGCCTTGCCAAATTCATCATAAGTTGCAGGAGGACATTTGAAGCCAAGAAATTCTGAAATTTAGAAAAAAATCAAATTAAAAATCCATTAGCAAGAAAATGCTTGTTATTGCCTCAGATGTATGTAAAGTTGTAGGTACCGTCAGCGTTGCAGCTAGGTACAAGATCAGGCCAGTCGCAGCGACCGGTCTCAGGATTGAAGGCAAGACCCATTGAGCACTCCATTTCGAATGCTTTGCCCGCGACACACATGCGGTATTTGCCGCAATCGGAGCGAGTCGCTAATGGTGACGCGAAGAATCCGTACTGGTGCTTGCAATCTTGTGACGCTACAGCTTGCTCTGTTGAAAATAATAAAAAATATAAATAGCAAGCTACTATCAAATTATAGCCGCTTACATAAATTATTTCGTGTTTCATAAAATGGTATCTGAAAATCTATCAACAAGATATGGCTTGAGACCAAGTTTTGGATTTGTAAGAAATTATTATTATGCTTACCACAGAGTACGGAATATCTGCGCCGCTGTCTTGGCTGCAAGGCTATCATAGGCAATCCATGTTTGTGATTTAATTCGTAAGGCGGTTAAAGAATAGACGCTGATATGTGATGAATAATGTTAGTGGGAATACTTACGAGGTGCATCGTTGTCATCACATTGTGCGTCGGATGGGTAAGCACAAGGGTAGGTGGGCCATTCCACATCTCGGATGAAGTACATGCCGTCAGGACAAGTCTTGTATGTCGCTTTGTACGCCTAGAAGAAGTAATGAAAGGTATTTAGAGATATAGGGACGTCGAAAAAACTTACTCCGTATGCACATGTTCAAGGTAAAACTCGCTACTCGAATGACTCGACGAGGACAGAACTACGATCTCACAGTATACAAGCTTCAGATAATAACACTTCTGTATTTTGATACTTAAGAATAGTTGTAATTATGTATGGGCAACTGAATCCACTTACCATCAGGTAGACTGTGATCTTTGCCAATCTTAACTATATAGAAAAAATAAATTTAGTTCCCTAAATGTCATAAAAATCGACGAAAGAAATTGCCAGGAAATTTTCGAAATATAGAGAAAAATTTGAAACGTGGTGAAATAATCATTTTAACAATAAACAAATCTTTAAATATCCATAAAATACGTTTAGGGTATCACCTCTAATGCAATAAGTGGCAATTGAGATAAATCCTACTATTTTAGCAGAGTTACTCTCACGAGTCCATATTCAAGAGTGAACTATAACAGACTGATAACAGTTGTTATCAGAACAACTTTATCACATAAAATCAAAATAAAACTATAATGAAAATAAAAGAAACTTACGTTGCATTCTACATATGAGTCGCAGCTACCTTTTATCTTGTAGTAGGTATTGTATTCCTTACAAACTATATCATCGACGGCGGCGGCGTGAGTTTGAATTTGGGTGGCGCCTTTAAAATAAAACACATTTGTTAGTTGTTGCTTTGGTTCAGTGGGGAGCAACAATATATCAAATCAAGTCAAGTCAAGTCAAATCCATCTAGCATACAAGATGATTTTTCATATGTACTACAAGTGCGAAAATAAATATAAATTTATAATGTAGAAATCATTTATATATAGAAATATCAAAACTTACCAGAAATCGCACATAATGTAGCGGCAATTGAAATAAAGAAAAACATTTTTCTTATTGAGCAAGTTGTGCTTTGTGGGTTATTTGATGAATGATAATTGTATTGCATTTGTTCTCATATTTATACCAAGCGAACTAATTAGTGATTTAATTATGTTCTACTAATTTTTGCATTACAACGGTGAACAACAATAATGATCACTGATCAATTAATGTTTATTTGCGTAATACTGTTTAAAATATATGGTAAGAACAATATTTCCTTAAAATTACAAAATAACTAATACTTTTTTATATAATTTTATATATTTTTTAAGGATCTCTACCTTGATAATTCGTCTATGGTCTATGTTATTGGTTCTGGATTTCCATCTTAGTGGAGGCTAATATTTATGTATTAATAATTAGTTTTTGGTTTTATATATTTTGTTCGTTTTGTGTCTACGGTGCATTCAACCACTACCTTATTATCTGTAAAAGCGTTTTAAAAATCGAGTATACTCTTTTTAAGATGAAACTGATTCTCACCACCATCCTTCATAGTTAGCTACCGTGGGTAATCTTCGTTTCAGAGAGCACGAGGGATCTGTGCCAGTAAACACCTGGCTGCCAAGCTCCACCATGTCAAGCAAGTTCTGCATGACAACAAGCTTCGGATCCAGCGTTTACGTCACAGTGAACGAGTGAAGCCAGCCACAGTCGAGCGTGTACCTGATGTACTGCCATATGTTAGAGGAGTCACTGACAAGATTGGCTACATCTTGAAGCGCGTTTCTATCAAAACATACTTCAAGCCGCCGAAGAAGATTGGTCAGTTTTTACCATCAGTCAAGTATAACGTCCCTCTGCAAGATGCAGGAGTGTACAAGCTTGATTGTGAATGTGGTCTCTCCTACATAGGACAAACTAAAAGATCAATTAAAACCCGCGTTAAAGAACATATAGCTGATGTGAAGAATCGACGCTCCGGGAAGTCTGCAGTCTGTGAACACGGCCAGGATCGCCCCCGTCACTACATCAGATTTGATAGACCACAAATCCTCGCTAAAGAACACCGATTCCTTCCAAGGATGATTAGTGAGGCTATTGAAATCAAAAAACATCCTAATTTCAATAGAGAAGATGGCTGGGTGCTACCATCTACTTGGGATCCTATAATAAATAAAATTATATCCCAACCCAAGCATACAACTGCAAGACTTCAAGATACCATAAGTTTATACTGTGTAGATCGGAACAAAAGTTAAATTTTAATCTATGGTAACCGCTGTTAACTATGACATTTGGACGTTGAACATCTCAATCCCTACCGTGATCATGGGTGCTGTAAAGCGCTCGAAACGTCGGGTATTTATAGTTAAATATACGCGATAAAATCCGTAAAAACTAGTATTATTGCATTGTGTAGTGTTCGCGTAAATATAAGAAATCATTATAAAACCATTATTATATAATTCTTGTAATCTTAAAAAACTAACGCCTTCTGATGAACTTTTTGCAGACACGTGAATAATAAACTGCTCTAACATATTTTCTATACTATTGTCGATTTCGTACATTTCTGTTTCGATCTTGGTTATCACATGATGACACGTGACGATAATTTTTGGCTATCCACTTTAGCTACTCTTTGTAAGAAAAGAATTCGAACTTCATCAATTTTATAACTTTTGTTATTTGCTGCCACGTAGCCCTTCACTTGGGCCCAAACAAGCTCAATTGGTACGGTGGCAGGCGTGGTCGCTGAGTCAACTGAGTACGCATGTAACTACAGCGTTTGTGTGAAACGGACTCTATGTTGTTTTTTCTTTTTTTTTTTTTGCGCCCGAAGCAATTAAAGGGCTACCCTGTACGTAGGGAGGCGGAAAATGCATTACGCATACCACGATAGCCGGTCTATCGTGGTTATGGGGGACTCACTGTCCTACAGGGGACCCTAAGTGATACCCCCCTAAAAACCGCCTTTGGGGACAGGCAACCGGCTGATTAAGCTCTATTGTGCCTTATCATGAGCGACCCTCTTTTGGGAAAAGAGGGCGCAGGCGGCTAAGTGCCGCTGAGGGAGTGCCTACGAAGGCAAATTAATGTCAGATATTACAATAATTTTATTTAATTAGAGTTGGCCTGAGCCGCCAGGAGACAGTTCAGGTCGTTTGAAAGTTTATTAGGCGGGTCCGAGAGAGAGTTTCTCGGCCTGCGGACACGATATCGAGGGGGGTGGGGCTGCATAAGAAGCTGCCTCACGAATTAAATGGTTTGGGTGCGACTCTGAGGCTTTGAAGAAGTTCTCAGAGAGTTTTTTAAGAAATTGTTGAATTGTTGGGAGCTCTAAGTCCCGATGAAGGTCGGCATTACGAACGTACCACGGTGCGTTCGCAGCTCGACGACAGAATAGGTTCTGAACTATTTGGAGTTCATTTAAAATGTTAGGGTTTGCGTGGGCAAAGACGGGGCCCGCGTAGGAGGACTCTATGTTGACTACGAGGACCAATAAAAACGCAGTCTAAATTTTCGGCACTCTTTTGGTAAAAAAATAAACTATAGTAAACAAAAAACAGCGATTGCCAATGTGTTTGATAAGTGTGGTAACTATGATAAATCCACATATGAGGCAACGTTTGGGATAGGTCTATTTTCAGCAGTGGACTTACGATACGCTGTAACTGGCAAAAGATTGTGAGGTTACTAGAACTCAAATTCTTTCACAAAATACCGCCCCCTAACAACTGCCCAGGCCTGTTCAATATCAGTTATAGTATTTTTCTGACAATAAATTATCAGTAGCCGCCTGGAGTTAAGCAGTTGACTGTGTTTCTCCACCGTGTCTCGGAAAGCTCGTAAAGCCGTTAGTCCTATCGACTTACTTTTCTATCGGACTTTGAGAGTGAGGGAATACAGAGTGCATCCGTGCTTTCGCATACACTTGTGCAATTAAATCCTGTCCCACCCACATAGTGGTCGTTGGGATTGACCGCCATGACCGGAATAAGGTTATTCCGGTCATGGCGGTCAGCTTATTATTCCTACGTGGTAGAGCAACGCTCCAGCTATTTTATGGATGGCAGGCACCGTAAAAGGGTCGGCGCATACGATAATAGAACCGGAGATCCTTTATTGCTAACCTGGCAATACGTCTTATACTTAGGTTCAGTTTCCTGCGACTAAATTTTAATTCCTAATCAGGGATAGATTGGTCTCTATCACAATATTCACATACAATTAGGTAAACTGTGTACCCTCTTTATCATGTTTGTGTAAAAAAGAAACTATAAATCTGTGAACTAGAAATCCAGTTGACTGGTAAAGAATGCATCAATGCAATGGATATAGATCTCTCAGTCACTGAGCCCGGTGGCTGTGAGATCTAACTAAATTCCGGCATCGCACCTGCAATTTCCTTGGTGTTGCAGTTGTTTGTGGGCGGCGACGTACACTTAGCATCAGATGAGTTGCGTGCTCGTTTGCATCTCGTCTACATATATGAAAAACAAAACGATTTTGATAATTTTTTTATTAAAAAGGTCAGGAATGATCTCGTATAAATATAAATTTGAAGATTATGGTGGCTAAATATGGAGTGAAGCTTTTGATTAACTATATTCAGACCACATTGATATTGTGATATTTAGTACAATATTAGGTATACCAATTTTAAAGCCCCCATTTAACTTCATCAATGCAAATTCGACCAAGTTTTAAAATAATACTAAAAGTAGCTAATTAAAATATGTATATCGGAGTAATTTGTTGATGGTCTCTATTACACAATTACAATTAACAATGTCATTGGTGCCAGTAGATATCGAATTTGGTTTGCTCATTTGCTATAAAATTCAAGGTGAATATTTATCCACTGAACTTCCACGGTTTTCCTACGGTCCAACATTATAATAACGCCCAATATTTGTTTTAAATCTACATAATATAATTTATATCTATAGAGTAACATTAAAAGGAAAGCAAAGAATGCGAATAATTACTTTATTTAAAAAAAAAACATTTCTAAAATACTGCGAGTTTGAATACTCACTGTGGGTACTTTAAACAATTTTTGTATGTGATAAATTACAACACATTTCGCTTGTGAATTTCGCGGTGAATAAAAATGCGATTAACGTGTTAAGATAACTGGCTCACACTGAAAACCAGCACTGTCTTTGCAGCTTATGCTGAGTTGAAGACCTATTGACATGATTTTTTTAGAACGTGGGGGCAAACGATCACACTGTGGACTACATGATGCTATGTGGATGCTGTGACCCATAGACATCTACATCTATCCTCGATTAAGAACCAAAATGCAGATGCGTTGTCACCCTCGAATACCAAGATGGAATGTCTCGTATATAGTAAAAAGGGTATCTGGTTCTCTACAGTCATCACACAAAACACAGTAGCACTAAGCTGCTATTTTACGCTGGTATTCTGTGAGAGCGTGGTCCTCGCTGACTGGCTGGATATACTAAGCCTTTGAGCGAGAAAACAGCCAGCTTTCTTATCACCAGTAGCGTTGACAGGTCGAAACGACCCCTTCATGGTATAACCATAATATATCCGCACCGTGGCACTTTTTTACAGGATAGGGTGACAAGCGAGCACACAGTCCACCTGATGGTAAGTGGTTGCTATGGCCCATAGGTATCTACATCTATCATCAATTACGAATCAAAATTCAGACGCGTTGTCACCCATGAGGACTAAGATGGAATGTCTCGTTTCCAGTAAAAAGGGTCTCCGGTTCTCTACACTCACCATACGAAACACAGCAGCATTAAGCTACTATTTTACGCTGGTACTCTGTGAGAGCGTAGTCCTACCCCGGTCAAGCCGACCCATTCGCGTTACAGCTATACCTACACTAATATAACTGCAGCAAGGCTTTACCATCTAAAAAATAAAATATTAGTGAACTTATGTTGATAGATGACACTACTGGGTACAAGACTCCATACATTTTTAATAGGAATGTCAATCCCTCATTTATCATCCTATTCGATTTAACCATTTAAACTTATTTCCAGTACTTAACATACTAACGAACTTATGTTGATAGATGATGTCATTTTAATTTCTAGTGGATGTCATTGTAGTTGAAATTAAAAACACATTCAAATATAACTTTTGAACCTCTTTTCAACACAAAGGTTTTGAACAAGAAAAATTATGTGATAGTTTTTATGTTAATTTTTATTACGAAATTGTTTAATAAATAAGCACTGCTTCAAATAGTTTTAAAATCATCGTCCTTCATGGCACTCGACACGAGTGGCGTCCACGCAGCGGTTAACGGTAGAGTCGAACACAAAACCGGAGTCACATAGCAACAGTCGCGCTACATTCTCCATACAAGAGAAGAAGTAGTGGCAGCTACCAGCGATGCTGTAAAATAAATATAATAGTATAAGTATTATATATTGCCATTATTTATTAATATCTATAAGAATTCCTGTGACTCTTATTACTTACACAGTGATAAATAAACTCAACCTAATAAATGCAACTTTTCAGTAAAATCTTTCTTGCAGTTTTAAAATACATGCAGTTAAAAATCAAAAATTAACATTTACCTGAAATTAACCACGTAAGCCTTGCCAAATTCATCGTAAGTTGCAGGAGGACATTTGAAGCCAAGAAATTCTGAAATTTAGAAAGAAATCATATTATAAATCCATTAGCAAGAAAATGGTTGTTATTGCATCAGATGTATGTAAAGTTGTAGGTACCGTCAGCGTTGCAGCTAGGTACAAGATCAGGCCAGTCGCAGCGACCGGTCTCAGGATTGAAGGCAAGACCCATTGAGCACTCCATTTCGAATGCTTTGCCCGCGACACACATGCGGTATTTGCCACAATCTGAGCGAGTCGCTAATGGTGACGCGAAGAATCCGTACTGGTGTTTGCAATCTTGTGACGCTGCAGCTTGCTCTGTTGAAAATAATAATAAATATAACAAGGTACTATCAAATTATAGCCGCTTATATAAAATATTTCGTGTTTCGTAAAATGGTATCTGAAATCCTATCAACAAGCTTTGGCTTGAGACCAAGTTTTGGATTCGTTAGAAATTAATAATGATGCTTACCACAGAGTACGGATATCTGTTTGTGATTTATTATTCACTTCAGATTGTGATTTAATTCATAAGGCGGTTAAAGTATAGACCGTGATAAGTAATGATAAAATGTTAGTAGGAATACTTACGAGGTGCGTCGTTGTCATCACATTGTGCGTCGGATGGGTAAGCACAAGGGTACGTGGGCCATTCCACATCTCGGATGAAGTACATGCCATCGGGACAAGTCTTGTATGTCGCTTTGTACGCCTAGTAAAAGTAGTGAAAAGTAACATAATTAAGGACTTTTTTGTTTATCTCTTCATTTAGAGTCACAGGGATGTTGAAAAAAATTACTCCGTATATACCATGTTCGGGGTAACCCTTGCTATTCATATGACTCGACCAGGACAGAACTACTCTTTCTCAGTAAACTAGCTGCAATAGCAACATAACGCTGGTAAATATATATTGCATCGTTATACTCAAGGATAATAACGTTTCTGTTGTATGGGCAACATAATCTGCTTACCATCAGGTGGGCTGTCATGTTTGCCACTACAAATTATTTATAAAAAAAGTAATTTTATTTTCTGTCATAAATATGGACTAAAATTGCCAGTAAATTTTCAAAATATTGAGAAAAATATAAAAGGTGGTTTTAACAATAAACAAATCTTTAAATATCCATTACGTGGAGGGTATCATCTCTAATGCAATAAGTGGCAATAGAGATAAATCCTACTACTTTAGGAGAGTTACTCTCACCAGTCCATTCAAGCGTGAACTATAACAGATTGATAACAGTTATGATCAAAATAAATTTATGATTTAAAATAAAAATAAAACTATAATAAAAACAGTGGAAACTTACGGTACATTCTACATATGAGTCGCAGCTACCTTTTATCTTGTAGTAGGTATTGTATTCCTTACAAACTATATCATCGACGGCGGCGGCGTGAGTTTGAATTTGCGTGGCGCCTATAGAATAAAACATATTTGTTGTTTGTTGGTTTTGTCCAATCGCGATCGACAATAAGAAATTTTTGTCCAAAGCGTGAGATATCTAGTACTGCGATGGAAATCTATCTGGCAAGATGATATCTCATATTATTTACAAGTGTTTTTATTTCTTATGTTTACGAGAACACTACACATTTAAATGAAATTAGTTTTATTTAAATTTTAAAAGTATAGTATGAGAAATAGTATTGTTAGTCATCGAAAATAATAATCGGAGAAATCATTTATAAATTGGAAATATCAAAACTTACCAGAAATCGCACATAATGTAGCGGCAATTGAAATAAAGAAAAACATTTTTCTTATTGAGCAAGTTGTGCTTTGCGGGTGATTTGATGAATGATAATTATATTGCATTCGTTCCCAGATTTATACCAAGCGAACTAATTAGTGATTTAATTATGTTCTAATTATTCTTGCATTACAACAGTAAAGGCAATAATGATCACTCATCAAGTAATGGTTATTTCCGTGATATTGCTAAAAATATTTGGTAAGAGTAAGGTGAACATTACTTAAAATAATATCTCCTTAAAATTACAAAATAAAAATTGCATATTAATAAACTGCTTATGCATTGTATCTATGGGTATGCAGATGATAGCACAGTTGTGTAGAGATATCAGCCAAGTCCTCGGGACAGTCGGGATCAAATCCAGTCCGAAATAGAAGCTATGGTAGAGCGTGTGAATCTCACACTACAGGCAGTCTTAGAATTGGGCGATGCCAATGTTGTGAAATTCAACGCCTCCAAAATACAAGCGTGTCTCTTCACTGCTAAATGGAGTCAGTTCACCCTGTCTCCTTTTGTTCGAATAATCACTGGAATACACCGAGCGTCTTCAATTGTTGTGGGTTGAGATATCCTCAGGTCTGAACTTCGGGCGGTTCATTGAGTCCAAGGCCAGAGCAGCTGCAAGGAAGCTAGGAGTCCTTGCAAAGGTGCGGCGGTACTTCACGCCTTACTTTATATAAAGCGCTAGTCCGATCGTGCCTGGAGTATTGCTGCCATATATGGGCTGATGCTGCAAAATGCCACCTAGAAGCTTTGAACTGGAAAAGCGTGCTGAGACGCTTATCGGTGACCCGAATTTGGCAAAAACCTGTGCAACTTTCGGTTTTCTACAGGTTGCATTTCGGAGAGTGTACACAGGAATTGCATAATTTAATTCCACCCTCTCCCTTCCACCATCGGACAACCAGACGTTTGGCCGGTCTCCAACCTTTCGTTTTTGTCTTTCCACGCATTCGGACCAAACAGTTTGCTAAGTCGTTGATCATGTGTAGACTTTTGTTAAATCAGTGCGCTTTACCATCTTAGGCTATATCATCTCTTACCGTCAGGTGGGATTGTATTTCAGCACTGACTTAGAAAAATAAAAAAATATATAGCATAATCGATGTCCCCTTCTATAATCCGCCAAAAACAAAAAGGCAACTAGCATCGTAACCTGAATTGCCCTTCATTGTTTTCACTACTATATTTTGTAAATGACGAAATTTCCGAAAGCACATTTACTTTATTAGACTATAAAAAATATACTTCGTAATACAATCAAATGGTCTAAATGTTTTCGATTGCTTTATTGATTGATTTACTGTATTTAAGAAAACTATAACTTACTGTAAAATAATTTAATAAATATCCACACATTTAAATTTTTAGTTATATATATTTAGTTATTGTTAAGAAAGTAAGAGAGCTTATTATGTTGTACATCCTTTTTTGGTTATAATCACATAGAATTAACTATAATGTTTAGTTTATGTTGTTATAAAATGCCTAACCTTTTAAGGGGAAATATAATGTCAAATGGCTTACGCAAGATCCTTTCGTTATGCCGAAAATATGGCAGCATTAATTTTGAAAAAATATATGGTAAGTTGAGGATTAATGTTAATGATTATGTTAGACGAAAACACGATTTCGTAAAATTTTCTCTATAGAAAAAATCCAAAGTGTACCTCCAAAATAAACAATAAAGTGTTATCAAAAATACTTTAAATAAGATCATGAAACTTTGCATACTAACTGAAATAACTATAAAGCAGTGCTTATTATTTACTTTTTTTAAAATACCATTATTTTCACTGTAAAAAGAAATTACCTAAATCGGCGTTTGAGCTGATTCCGTCGCCCGTTAGTATCGCTTAGGCTTTTGAAGGGAGAAGTTGTGTCGTTACGATCAGATATACATTACGCAACAGTACGACGTAAAATTAAAATGGGAAATAACCGTGATAAAAATAAGAAGCGGCTGGCTTGGCGTTAAGAAACAGGCATTATGATAAACCTAATGAAATAAGTGTTACGACCTTTCTACTTACAGTATTAGTGATTACAAACATATCGGTACATAGCATAGACGCGCGGGAAAGTGGGGGCGAAATTAGAATTTGAGCTGACTTACTCTATCCTCTCAAGTTATAGTTTATACGACATACGTGTTTCTGTGCCATTCCGACAACAATGGTTGTTTGTGGCTCGTTATTACCAGGATTAGAATGTGTTAGTGTGAATAGTGGGCAGTGCTATTAAATTAAAAATAACTGTCAATACGTATAATTTTATATACCATATATAAATAAAAAAGTTTTTTTTTTAAATTCGATTGATATTTTTCAACATACAAGACATGCCCTGATGGTCTTCACTTCATCCGCGATGTAGAATGGCCCACATACCCTTGCGCATATCCATCAGATGCGCAATGCGACGCCCAAGACGCGCCTCGTATGTGTTGTTATTAAACGACATATTTACGAGTATTTTAACACTAGGCTAGATTTAAATCATTATTTTACGGATTTTTACGGATACGGATTTTTCGCGTCGCCATTAGCTGCTCGCTCCGACTGTGGCAAATACCGCATGTGTGTGGAGGGCAAATCGTTCGAATTAGAGTGCTCAATGGGTCTTGCCTTCAATCCTGAGACTGGTCGCTGCGACTGGCCTGATCTCGTCCCCACTTGATGATTTCGATGCAGATGGTATTTGATAATTGATTTTTAATTAATGGTAACGAAACGGTTTTCTGACAAGGAAATAACTAGTTTTTCTATTCCAGTATTTCTCGGTTTCAAATGTCCTCCGGCTACGTACGACGAGTTTGGCAAAGCTTATGTAGTTAACTTCAGGTATTTTTATAGATATTTAACCAGTATTTTTTTTTATAAAAGGAAATAGAGCTACATGATCTACTTTTTATTCTATAGGAATATCTTATTTACATTTGTTTCATGTCGACAGTATTAAGGGAAGCTGCCACTACTTCTTCTCGTGCATGGAGGGCGCGTCTCCTGCTTTGCGATGAGGGCTATGCTTTCTAATCAACCGTCAACCGCTGCGTGGACGCTACGCGCGTGCAGTACCAGGAATAATAACGTTATATTTCGTTATAGAAATATATTATTTATTTCCTATTTATTACTGAGCACGTTTAAATAAATAATTAAAAATATACAAATTTTTTTGTTTTGCATTTGTGGCAAAACTGACACTTTCATTTGTTATGATTCTCACCTTACCTGTTTGTGAGGGGTTTGGGTTGAGCATTTTGCAAAGAGTGCGTGGAGCGCGAGCGTGGGGCGCAGCTTCCATGTCCGAGACACGCAGAGGGGCACCCGCGAAAAATCTGTGTTATAAGGTTACCCATCATAGGTCAAATATAAGTACTTAAAATTGGTTTATTTTAAGAAAACGTTACAAGAAACGTGACTTTTAAAAAAAATACCGTACTAAATTTCTCCTCAACGTCAGAATTCCGTATTTCCGTGCCATTTGAGACCTATAAAACAATAGACCTCAACACAGATTAATAAATAGTTTACCAACAGGTACATCACTCCCATACAAAAGGCGAAAATACCTACGCTATAATAACCTACAAAATCTTAATAATAATATCTGCTGCTCGCAGCGAGGAGAAAATGTACCATAAGTACGCGCACGAAGCGCCGAGATTGTGTTGCCCGCCGTGCTACTCACGTGCGAGCACCTTATCGCACGATTGCGGTTTGTTTGCGGGTATTGTAATAAAACGAATGTTGCGAAATACATACTTACTAACAACATTTTTTATTTGTCATGCAAATATTTTTGAGTTTTATAAAATGATTTAAACATTTTTCCTTCTCTGAATTCTCGATTATTAAATTTTATCGTTGAAGTTTCCTAAAGCGTAAATAATTTTAATAAATAATCATGAGGAAAACAGGAGCAAAGCAGAGGAAAATCAATGGTTTGTAAAATTTGCAACACGGTACTGCCAGGCCGATTCATTATGACGTTGTCAAAATTATTTAAGAATGTTCTTTCTAATTCTTTACTATAATTATTAAACGGTTCTGGTGAGACCTTTAGCGCACCATAAAAAGATGAATCTTTATTATAAGCTTTGAAATGAGTAGTTAGTGTTGTTTCGTCAACATTAGGGTTCTCGTGTAACAAAGCATTGAAGCTTTTTTATGCATTTATGTTTTTTTTTTTGCTACACTTATATATTAAATACTCTGATGCATGAGACAACGTAAAAAAAGACAATTTTTCATTTTTTTTATTTTTACACCCATCCAATGCACAATAATTACATATGGTTTTGGCATTTCAGCGCGGGAAACGTGCGCGGCGCTTTCACTATGTTCAGGCGGGTGTGCGGCGGCCCAATGTCGGTTGTTTTGTTTCGTGGGCGCTGGGCGATACGCAGAGCGGTAGGCATAATATAACGCGTGGCCTAAAGCGAGTGACGGAGGCCTGACCTCACGCTGAGCTCTTCCGCAGCAGTAGTAGCAAGCAGTAGTACCCGCGATTTCTTTATTTCGGCACTTCCCGGCACATGCCACGTTCCACATTCTCGTCCCGGGATGACAGTTGCAGTCATTGAAGTAATATCATAGATTAATAAATAGTTGATAATATGTACTTACGTACTAGAACAGCTATCTCAAACAAAAAATGTGCGCTACTCTGTGTTCGCGCGGATGTTTTTTATCATAGAATAAACATAGGTAGAATGACCCGTAGGTAATAGTATATTGTATTGTTAAATAGGTAAATTATATCGAGAACAATATTTTATGTTGTAATTTATTTTGTACATTATATTTGCTTGTTTAATATAATATTACATGATATTATATCACAATTACATTTTAATTATATTTTTATCTGAATATTTTAGAAGGTATCTAAGTCAAATACAAAAAACACACTAAATGTATGTTTAACAAAACTTGTTAACATAACATTTATATTACAAATATATTTATTTAAATTAGAATAAAAGTCGTTCATAAATGCTGGGCATGCGAGAGTTAAAAATGGACGAATTTATACTACTTTGACTTTGATGTGGAAACCTAAAAATAAAATAAAAGAATAATAAACTGATTTAAACATGAAATTTTGTCTTTTGTTTCTACAAAAAAAATGTGTATAATAATATATTCGTCCTATACTTAAGTACCCACAGAAATGTCGCATCTGAACATATTAATTTCATAATGTTTATTCCCTGACACGAGATGGCGTCTTAGGAATAAGTACCTGGTTGACCGAGCTTTGCTCGGTATTTTTCGCTCGGTTTTAATTCGTGTGTTTTGGAAATTATCATCATCATCATATGCTTAGTTGTGAGCGGCCAAAAGAGTTTTGGAAATTATATTTAGATACAAATTGCATACTGATGAAATACAAATAATATTTTTTGATCTTAGCGACATAATAGAAAAAACTGAATTGGTTATTTGAATAAAAAATCATGAGTGCAATTTGTTTAATTTAAATTTTCGTGTTTTTAAAAAATACTAAAAAAAGGGCTCGAAAAAAATAGATTTTCTCAAAAAAGAAAGGAACTTGAAAAAAATGATGATGAAATGAAATCTTTTTGATTCGGTTGCAACCCGTACACGAGTGATCGAATCATGGATCTCTAAAAGATTCGATCTTATTTAACCCGATTTCAAGATGACAAAACAAACCAAAATCTACATTTTTTTGCATTGTTTACATGCATATCGAATCGTGCAATCAATCACACAACCACGTAATAAATAAAATGTCTTCTGTCTCCTTCGTTTACATACAATTCAACCAATAAACAAATCGTAGAATTATTACTATTATAGCACCTGTTTACCATTCTTTATTCAGTCATACAGAGTATACAAACGAGCTACGACCCAAATGATCGAAACGATCGAATCTTTTTAACCCGATCACCATAAGAGTGGGACGTGATCGACCCATGTCACGAGAAATGATCGATCGACACAGGTCTATTTAAAGTGCGGTGTATGCACCGCAGTTGAGTGGAACAGAGTAGCTGAATGCAGTGTCGCCTCTAGTACGTAGTACAAAATAGCTCAATGGTTGCAGTGCAATGTAACTTGGGTTTTTAAATTTCAAGTTGGGAAGTCGTAAGTCGTACAACTGTTGTTATACGCAGAGCGTAGCGCTTAACAGCAGGTGGGGCATATACTCATCCCATTTAAGCGAAGTTCTTATTAAACCCCCAATACTCAAAAAAGTAAATAAAGTAGACAATATTTTTTGTAGCTAGACTCGTGTATCTTTGGCAACCCCTGCCCAATGCAAAGAAATCACAATGATTTCTTATATCTACGCGAACACTACACATTTAAATAATCATACTGCTTTTACTTAATTTAATTACTAGTAGTTTAAAGCTTATCTTTAAACAGTGTTTAACGTATTTATTTTTTGGTAGTAAAATTTGCCTTTTCGGATGATATCTCGTGACTATGTAATTGCCCATGTGAAAAATTGAAAGTCACCGGGAGGTCCACGAGGCTTTTCTTAAGAATATGTCTTAAGTAATCTTTGATAAGTTTACAAGACCTTTAACAGCAGTTAGCATAACATTCTGTGTCTGCAATTGCTTGCCTTCAGTGTAGCAATTATGGCAAATATACCTCTATGAGGCAAAGTAAAGGGTAGGCCTATGTTTGTCAGTGGACTTTGTTTGGCTGTAGCAGTAACAGTAAGCCCTGTAAAATTAAGCAGTTGTTAAGCATTATAATTATAAAATTTTAAAAATTATAAAATTATAAATTTTAATAAATATAAAGTAGATATTAATTTAGAAGTAGATTAATATTATTTTATTTTCCACTTTGATAGTTTTTGTAAAATACTTTCAAATGAAATAGTGTTCATTTATAACATTGTGAAAAAACAAATGGTAAAATAAAAATGTTTGTACAAACGACTTCAATTCGACCACCCAATACGGATAACTCAAAAACTACTGATCAGATCTTGCTTAATTTACATGGAACCGCACGAGAAACACCAGCTTTCAGATAAAAAAGAATCATCAAAATCGGTTCACCCAGAGAAAAGTTATGAGACACATACACACAAAAAAACATACAGTCAAATTGAATACCTCCTCATTTTTTAGGTTGGTAAAAGAACAGGACAAGAGTGAAGTGCGCGTCCCCTGAGGATTCCGTAATAACTTAATCGTGTATGTAGATAATTAATCCATCCTGAAAATTATAGATCAGGTAAGCACTGAATAATGAATATTGATCTAACGAAATTTTACGTCAAAAAATGTTATAAAAATATTCTCCCATGCATACTCGTAGATCTACATTACGACCGATGCTTCAATTGCAAATGTGGGTTTGTTATTGTAATTTTTTTATGTGATATAACCGTAAGTTAACGATTTTAGTTTTTCCTTTATAAGTAAAGCAGTAAACTTGATGCTCGTCCTTACCTTGGGTATTGCTAAATTTAATTTTTCTAAGTCAACGGAAAACATAACGTATAGTTTTGATGAGTGGAGTTTCAAATTTTAAAATATCATACTTCTTATATTATAAATTAATTATTATAGATAAGTCCGAAGAGTAGAATCTGTCATTTTGTCTTGCGTATGTGGACTATGAGAAAGCCTTAGATCCCGTCGAAATTTGTATAGTCTTGCAGTCCCTTCAGCGGTGCTAAGTGGACTGTCGGTATATCGAAGCGCTGAAGTGTTTGTACAGTAGGGCTACAATGATAATCCGAGTACAGAACCAGACTATGAAACCCATAGATATAAGAAATAAGGAGATATGCTCAGTAGTTGAAAGTGTATCGGAACCCGGTGTCTCCAGTTGGCCCCTACCACGCGCCAACCACTACATATGCACATCAGTAAAAGCAATAGATACACAGTCGCGCACACACTCGCATTTTATAAATTAGAACGTACTACACAATCAATTTTAAACCATATCTCTGAAAGCACAGCGTGCATTTACCATTCACCGTGCCACTTACGCACACAAAAATATCGGTCACTATCGTTGTGCTGTAAAAAAGCCATTTATTTTACATATACGTTAGTGATTGACTAAATTGGAAAGTTAACGATTGTTTCATTTATACCAAAATTGTACTAAAATTTTTTGGGCCCTGAATATAAAATAAATAAAATACCACATGTCAAGAGAATAGTGTAATAAAAGTAATTAATATGTAGGCAAAAATGTAATAATAACCTAAAATTTAATCACCTTACCTCACGACCGTTGGTTACGCATTCAGCGTAGTAGTTGCTGTAAAATAATTAAAATAAGTAAAAAACATTGTGTCACGTCGGTCTTCCTATCGGGTTGAAACGGTTGACAAATTGGAGAATAAACTATAATAACAATTCACCAATCCACATTATTGTCGATAGTGGATCTACACAAGCACATAACTAGCTCGTCGCAAGATACAGCGGCCGTACTACGCCATATATCTGCATAAATAAAGTATCATTTTGTGATATTTACATTGCTTGTTCAGTCATACTAAGGTACTGGTTATGGAGCAATGTATTTACTGCAAAAATATTACAGTGACTGTGATATTTGAAATCAAAAATAACGTAGTAAGAGCTAGAAATATTTTACGATTTGCTGTTTAATACGATTTTAAAGATAAATATAATTAAATACTTTTACTTAGGTATGGTAAGTGATTTCATGATTAACAAAGTTTTTGTTTTAGCTTCGGTTTTTACAAGAAACCACTGAACAACATGGTATTCTGATAATATTTCACGATGACGGTCGACAGCGCACTAATTCACATGGACGGCCATTTGTACCTATAGAGGCTGAGCATTTTGATCATAGCGCACGGACACAGACACACCCCCTTGCCACTTCTCCTGTTGTTTATATTTCTATAATGAAACCTATCCAACTGCAGAGAAGTGTAAGACAGGGTGACGTAATATCCCCGAAACTCTTCACCACTGCATTGGAAGACGTTTTCAAGCTACTGGACTGGAAATGATACGGTATTAAAGTCAATGGCGAGTACATCACTCACCTTCGATTTGCCGGCGATATAGTCCTTATGCCTGAATCGCTGGAGGACCTAAGCACTAACTAACACAAGTTAGTCCAACCAAGTAAGTCCAATTTGACCGAGAGGTCAAACGACGGATTCCACTCGGCTGGGCAGCGTTTGGTAAGTTACGACACATCTTCTCTTTAGGTATACCTCAAAACATGGTCAAAACGTAGTCCTTCACAGCCGGCCGTATGAGGAAGCTCAAAGTTAAAAGCTACGGAGAGGGCTATGCTCAGAGTTTCTCTGCGTGATAAAGTTAGGAATGAGGATATCCGCAGTAGAACCACAGTAGCCGACGGGGAAAAAAGGTTCTAGAGTGGCAGCCTTGTACCGGCAGGCGAAGTGTAGGGCGTCCCCCCTCTAGATGGAGTGACGACCTGGTAAGAAATGCAGGAAGTCTATGGATGCAGTTGGCTCAGGACCGTGCTTTGTGGCATTACTTGGGGGAGGCTTATGTTCAGCAGTGGACTTGATGGATGCGTAGGTGATATTGGGGGAGGCCTATGTTTAGCAGTGGACTTGGGAAGGACTTTATATTTGTGACCGTATCTTTTAATTACGTTGAAGTTTTTTCACCCATGATGGACCGACGACCTTACTATTTAAAATTAATTTAAACTTGATAAATCGTATATAAAATCATCTTTTTTATACAAGTAAATGAAAAGAGATTAATTTTGGAACATGCAAATTATTTACTATATTATACTACATGTCTAGTGGTCCTTAATGCGACTGCTGATCATGTGGTCCTGGGTTCAAATCCTAGGCTGGGCTAAGAATCAGTAGCAGCCCGGAGTCAAGAAGTTGGCAGTGTTTCCCACCCACGTGCTTCGGAAATCACGTAAAGCCCGTTGGTTTTGTGCATTATCTCCCTCTCGTCTTCAGACTATAAGTGTGAGGGGATAAGGAGTGCATCTGTGCTTGCGCTTACTCTTGGATACTATTACCCTTTCTTGCACAGATGGCTAATTTCCGTGGACCCCCCACATCACTGGCCACCGTGACTGATATTTGGTCAGGAGGACATTATTATCATTGGGACATCAATTTGTAAATTTTAAATACCTACGCTTTAAGCGTGAATTAGTTAAGTATTATGATAAACTATATAAATTTTTCATAATAAGGAAATGTGAACAAAGTAATAATTAGGTGTGCCAAATAATGCAATAAATGGAAATATTTTTTTAATTGTTTATTTAAACGAAGAGAAATAAATATGAAATAAATAATACATTTTTATCACGAAATTTGACGTTATTTTTCCTGGCACTGTACACGCGTAGCGTCCACGCAGCGGTTGACGGTTGAGTCGAAAGCATATCCCTCATCGCAGAGCAGGAGACGTGCTACGCCCTCCATGCACGAGAAGAAAAAGTGGCAGCTTCCCTCAATACTATCGACATGAAACAAATTTAAATAATATATATATATATTTTTATATTTTTATATTATGCATAAGAAAAGAAAACTAAGTTGTAAATTACCTGAAGTTTACTACGTATGCTTTGCCGAACTCGTCGTACGTAGCGGGAGGACATTTGAAACCGAGGAATGCTGGAATAGAAGGAAAGGTTTATTCCCTTATTAAACCGTAACCGTATCATTACGAGTATTACGAGTACCATTAATAAATAAAATCGATTAACAATTACCCTCTGCGTCGCAAGTGGGGACGAGATCAGGCCAGTCGCAGCGACCGGTCTCAGGATTGAAGGCAAGACCCATTGAGCACTCTAATTCGAACGATTTGCCCTCCACACACATGCGGTATTTGCCACAGTCGGAGCGAGTGGCTAATGGCGACGCGAAGAATCCGTATTGGTGTTCGCATTCTTGTGTTGGCATTGCTTGCTCTGTCGAAGAATACGTAAAATAATGAGCCTGGGCTTATGTTAAAATGTACCCGTTAATTAATGAGAATACATACGGGGTGCGTCTTGGGCGTCGCACTGCGTATCTGACGGATATGCGCAAGGGTATGTGGGCCATTCTACATCGCGGATGAAGTGAAGACCATCGGGGCAAGTCTTGTATGTTGCCTTGTATGCCTGCAAAATATGTTAATAAAAAATGAAAAATATTTTTTTTTTGTATTGAAATGTAGATTATTAAATAATACCTAAGAAATATATCTGAGTAGGTTCTTATATTAATTTATTTGTTATAAAAAGTGTTTTTTTTAAGAATTATTATATTTTCGTTTTATAATAATTCTGTAGAAATAATTATAGGTACCTATCTTTATTATATGATAGCTTCATCATTATAAACTGTTTTATAAAAAAATTTAATAAATTTGTTGTCAGGCAGACTTTATACATTTTCTAGGATTGTATTGTATACGTGCAAAACATACACATATTGTGTATGAATAAATTACCGACTCTGAATACGTATAAGTACGTTTTTCAAAGCTTATTTCTAATAACACTTAAAAGCTGGCAATTAAGCCAGTTACTTACGTTACATTCGATGTAGGAATCACAACTGCCCTGTATTTTATAATACTTGTTGTATTCTTGACAAACTGTATCACCTACAGCTCCATTTTGTTGCACTTGTCCGGCACCTTTACATTCAAAACAATTTACTACATAAAACTATTAATAACATTTATTAAAGAAGAAATATAACATTTTTTATACTTACATGATGCTACAAACAGCCCAGCAACGCAAAGAAAGAAAAACATTTTTTTTTAATTGTACTTCTTTTGCGGGAAATATGCAAATGATGATATTTCCGTGGTTCAGTCTTTATTTATACTAATACTTTAATTTGAAACTAATTTACCTGTGGTTTTATAACCGTTAAGTATCTTTATTAATTATTTATGGAAGACAATGAATGATGCAAAAGTAATGAAGTGTTTGTTATATATTAGTAGTGTCGTGAGTTGTAAGGGAATATTTGCCAACTTTTTAAATGGCAATCTTTTAAGTATTACCTAGCGTGGTAACTATGACAAATATCATCCCTACGATGCAATCTATCGGCGAGGCCTGTGTTCAGCAGTGGAGTTTAAGAAGCTGTAACGTTAACAGTAATCTCTCCTTCGTTCGGTGCGCTCTATTGATTTCTATCAGACAAGACTTCAATGAATACATTTAAAATTATATAATATGCTGACTCATTGGAGTTTCATTGGGGTCTCTTTGACGTTGTGATGTTTCTAATTTCACTCCAAAGTTTTGTGGCATTTAACGTTAGTTCAAATATAGAAGAATTTCAAACAAAACAATTCTGAATTAAAATGAGGTTTGTTTTTCTTTAAAGGAAGTAAACAGAAAAATTCAAACTTATTTTTTAATATAAAGTGAAATCCGATTCCAAAAATTAAAAAGGATAAAATAATTCCACTTGCTGAAGTTGGGTCTTTAATAATATTTTTTCTTTACACTATGTTACTTAGCACCAACTTCAGAATATAAAATTGTTTTATTATATTTAGATCTTTGAAGTCGGCTTTCACTTTATATTAAAATTTTATTTTAATATCTTTTTATTAATTCCTTTAAAGTTAAAAAATCACATTTAAATTCAGAATTGTGTTATTTGAAATTCTTCTATATTTAAACCAACGTTAAATGCCTTTTTTGTATGTCGAGAATTACATCTGCGATAATGAATAATTACTGTAGGTTTAAAACTCAATACATAGGTATAAATAACAATTTATATCAATTCCCCTGCGACTACATCCTCCATTTTCTTTCGAAATAGAAGCATACCGTTTTCCTTTTTATCGCTTTCTTTTTATCCAAGTATATACAACAAAAGTGGTAACATACTGGAATAAGTTTGTATACAGTACCTGTTTGCTAGGAAAAAATAATATTCAGATTCAACTTTTAATGTCATTATACCTTACGTCTTATCATTGTAGAAATGGATATGCATTTATTTCCTATTAAATTTTTTTTATACGGTAGGCTGACAAACGAACACACAGTCCACCTGATGGTAAGTGGTCGCTGTGGCCCATAGACATCTACATCTATCACGTATACGCGTCATATATACGCGTCACGGGTGACATCGTGAGTAAAAAGGGTCTCCGGTTCTCTACACTCACCATACGAAACACAGCAGCATTAAGCTACTATTTGACACTGGTATTCTGTGAGAGCGTGGTCCCTCCCCGGTCGAGCCGACCCATTCGTGCTACAACTGTACTACTAATATAACTGCAGCATGGCTCTACCACGTAAAAATTGTGTTTTTAAAAATATTTATATTAATAAGGTGTTTTGCTTAATTCTTCGAGTTAGGAGCTGTAAATAAAAGTAAATTATGATTTGCAGACGACTGTTCGCATACTTGTAATAAATGTTCATCGTTTGTGAAGATCAGACCAGGTAAGCTGCCAGAAATACACAAAATCAGGACCCGCAAGAGATTTTTTGAAATTCATAGGAGTTATTAGCTTTGTCCTCTTTCATTTATGAAAAATAATGATACAATACAACAAGCCATGGTGCGACTGTTTACACACCGGTATCGAATTTTACATTCTGAATTCTGAATTCATATTTTGATGTAAGAACGTAATATCCAGTAACTTAGTAAGGCGCATTAACTATTAAAACACATGTTAAATTGCGAACCCTAGCTAGTTTTTAAAATGGTCAAAATGTCTTGCTAGGTTTCTTATTGGAATAATAATGTCCTCCAGACCGAATTTCGGTCACGGCTACTTGCCACAGCGGAGACTAGCCATCGGCGCAGGACAGGATTATATAGTGGCCAAGTGTATGCGCAAGCACAGGTGCACTCTCTATTCCTTCACTCTCATAATCCAATGGGACGGTAAACCGACACGACCGGAGAGAGATCAGGCGCAAGACCAAAGGTTTTTCGTGCTTTCGATGCACGGGGGTGAGACACCGCCAACTTCCTGACTCCGGGCAGCTACTGAGAATTTCTTGACGGAAAAACTCAATAATTGATTTGTGGCCCGACCCGGGATTCGAACCCAGGACCTCATGATCAGCAGTCGCACTACTACAACCACTGGACCAACAAGGCAGTTAATGTTGAAATAAAGGTAGTATATGAAACACTTTCTAAGTTTAAAAGTATCAAAATTTAAAATCAAAGCTGGACTGGCCGCCGATTGATTTAATTAGAAACAAAGGAACCGCCCATCTTCACCACTTGTTAATGTGACGTTATTCAGATTTAAGATAACGAAACCCTATTTATTTCATCAATTTAATTTTTTTTTTCAAAAAATATCTTTTTTTAATAGAATATGGGTGACAAACGAGCACGCAGTAAACCCGATTGTAAGTGGATGCTGTGCACATAGACATCTACATTTATCCTTGATTAAGAATAAAAACGTAGATGCGTTGTCACATTTGAGAACTAAGACGGAATGCCTTGTTTCCAGTAAAAGAGGTCTCAGGTTAACATATGAAGCACAGCAGTATTAAGCTGCTGTTTTACGCTGGTATTCTGTGAGAGCGTGGTCCTTCCCCGATCGAGCCGACTCATTCGTGCTACAACCATGATATAGCTGCAGCGTGGCTCAGCGGGGGTCTATGGGCCACAGCACCCACTTATCATCATGTGGACTGTGTGGCTGTGTGCTCGTTTGTCACCCAAAGTTATAATAAAGGGTCTCCGGGTCTCTACACATACCGTACGAAACACAGCAGCATTACGCTGCTATTTTACGCCGAATTACGAATTGATTTACGAATTGATAGAAATTTTTATATATACCTATGTATTGAGTTTTAAAACTACAGTAATTATTCATTATCGCAGATGTAATTTTCGACGTACAAAAAACTAACAAAGGCTGTGTTAGTTCAAATATAGAAGAATTTTAAAGAAAACCATTCTGAATTTAAATGTGGTTTTTAATCTTTAATGGAATTAAATAAAAGGATTTAAAAAAAGTAATATAAAGTGAAAGCCGACTTCAGAGATCTAAATATGATAAAACAATTATAATAAAACATAGTGTAAAGAAAAATTATTATTAAAGACCCAACTTCAGCAAGTGGAATTATTTTATTCTTTTTAATTTTTAGGGTTCCGTAGTCAACTAGGAACCCTTAAAGTTTCGCCATATCTGTCTGTCCGTCTGTCCGTCCTCGCTTAATCTCTATGACCGTTAGCACTAGAAAGCTGAAATTTGGTACCAATATGTGTATCAATCACGCCGTCAAAGTGGTAAAATAAAAATTGGAAAAAAATGTTTTATTAGGGTATATGTAAAGTGGGAAGTGATTTTTTTTTAATTTCAACCCTAACGTGTGATATATTGTTGGAAAGGTATTTAAAAATGAATAGGGGTTTACTAGAATAATTTTTTGATAATGTCAATAATTTCGGAAATAATCGCTCCAAAAGTAAAAAACAATGTGTCCCCCCCCTCTAACTTTTGAACCATAAGTTTAGAAAACATGAAAAAAAATCTGAAAAGTAGAACTTTATAAGGACTTTCTAGGAAAATCATTTTGAACTTGGATGGAAACAACAGTACCCACTACCGGGAGCAGTTGCAGGAGCGCGGAGCGCTGCTGGAGCGCGAACATAATGGATACCCACCTTTAAACTCATAAGTGGGAACACTTATTGTGACGGACGGGAAACTACGGAACCCTACACTGAGCGTGGCCCGATACGCTCTTGGCCGGATTTTATTTTATTACTTTTGGGTCATGTGCCTGGGCCCATAACTTGTTGTAATAAAATAAATAACGCAGTTTTATAAATGTAAATGGTTTTTATTTGAACACCTTGTGCACACCATGACAATTTATATTGAAGAAAGAGACAGGGTTACCAACACCAAAAATTAAATTAAGGTGAAATTACATTGCCATATTCTAACAAACACATTTAAATAAATAAAAAATAATTTTCATAACATTTGTACAGTTACTATACTGGACTGGTCCGACACGCTCTTGGCCGGTTTTTTTTATTGAAGTCGGATTTCACTTTATATTAAAAAAATATAAAACGAATAGTCTGAATTCTTCTATTTACTCCCTTTAGAGAAAAATAAACCTCATTTAAATTCAGAATTGTTTTGTTTGAAATTCTTCTATATTTGAACTAACGTTAAATGCCACAAAACTTTGGAGTGAAATTAGAAACATCACAACGTCAAGGAGCTACTTTAAAAACGTCATCCCCTATTTTACCACCCATAGGAATGGATTTTTTAAATCCAAATTGTATAATATACGGAACCATCCTTGAAGTATAACTAATTTCTTTAAAAAAATCATCTTAACATACGAGTACATACCAAAAAAGGAACTTCAATTCAAAACCTCTAAATGACTTTCAATAAGTATTATTGTTATCATATTGAATTTAAAAAAAAATCCATTCTTTCCCTGCCTAAAAGCAAAGAAAGCAGAAATTATTGATGTAATTTTATAAATTATCACATAATGTAAAACATTTCTATCGATTTCTTTGACTGTTTTGATTTTCTCTAAAGGCGTTATAATTCTATCTATACAAATAAATAAAATTGAAGTGTTCTAAAGACATATAAAAGTATGCACAGTACTTATAACAAAAAACGAGTGTGCTCATGACCACACGACTGAAGTAAAACTTTTTTAGCTCCATCTGTATATATATATATATATATATATATATATATATATATATATAACTCCCGTTCACCTCGATCACACTTTTCGTAACGCTTTCGTC